CTTTAATGGTGATACATGAGGCATGAGGTTTTTTTTTTTTTCAGAACTGCTTGTGCTTGTGCTTTGAGGCTGAGATTCTTCTGCTTGATAGTTTTTTTCACAAACTGATGCTTCTTAAATGCATTAAAGAAAACTTGGTCAAAGAAATGATGGATATTCTGCTCCCAGACTTTTTGATTCTGTTGTTTGAGGTCTGACAATCCTCTCACTCCACCCTTTTCTTCTTTGGACTCTGACAAATAAGAATTAGAAGACCACAATATATCAAATATAGTTCTGCATTATCACAGTCTGACTTATTTGAATCAACATTTGACAATAGAATATACAAGGCAAACCTTGTTTAAGATCACTCGTAATTTCAGTATGAGAGGTTGAGGTCACATATGAATCTTCTGAGGCCTCCACCTGGTGAATACAATACAAAGTAAGGAATCCATCCACCAAATGCAACTACAGTACATTAGGGGCGTATGACAAGTATTGCAATTGAATTTGTGATTTTGTTTCAATTCAGTATTGAGATTACACAGCACGTTTTAATCATGCATGTATCTTGTTTTAGTGCCTCAATTTTTAATACTCCTGGGTGAGTATTAAAATGAGAGAGAAACTAAAACAAGAATACAATGCACTTTGGAACTTTGTCTAAACTACAGCATCATGAGTTTTAATTATCTGCCAAGGACCTTCTAACTTAAATAATACAGGCGTAGGATTTGATAATTGATTGTGATATGTTATGCAGCCCTAAAATGCATTGTGACAAACAAGAAAGAAAATACAACTTACAGAACTCTGTGAGGTTAACTCTTGATCTATTTCATCATGACCCAATTGGCATTTGACCTCAGCACAGCCTAGTACTGCATCAAAAAACTCCAGAAATGTAATCTACAGAAGAAGAGCCTATGTATTAAGATAAACAAAATAAAAATAAACTACACAACTCCAAATATGTACTGTATTACCTCTAGGTTTAACAAAGAGGAAGTGTTGCTAGGGTCAGGACTCTCTTCAGAAATGACTTTCAAGAACATGGAGGCAGTAAGTCTGTGGTCAAGCAAATGAAATTCCTGGCAAAAGTAAAAGAAAGAACAAGTTTATTTTCAATTTCTTGTAAACAAATGCCTGAAAAAGGAGGGTGGGACCTTAAACATGAACAGCAGGTCTTGATATGTCATTGTCTTGTCTTCTCGTGTGGGGGCTTTAAGTGTGCAGAAAGCCTGGTAGATCTCCCAGCTCTTCCCACAGTATCTCATGGCAACTTTTGTGTGCTCCTGATACCTAAACAAAAAACCTACAATAACAAAAATTAGTTAGGAGTATTCACATGTTCTTTTTAATATATATAATAGCAAGATTACAAACCTTTTACATGTTTTGCATTAGGTAGGATGTTGTTTGTCATCAGTTTGGAAAAGCAAGCTGCTAGAAGATCCTTTTGTGAACTGATGGATCAAAAAATGAAAATATATTTACAATTAATATGTACAGCCATGTTATATAATAATGTAATACTTACACCATGTCCTTATGATAAGTATGATAAGCAATGACCACTAGGCAGGAAAGGAGCTTGCAAAACAGCATCTTAGTGAAAGGTGAATGAACCTCTGTTAAAGGGACACCCTCTAAAGCACCTAAAGACAGAGAAGAACTGACAAGAATAAATATTGAAATATATATACACATTTTTAAAATCTTTTTGATATGACAATAAAAAGGTCATATTTTTAAAATCAGAAATAGCCAATTCATTTATATGTTCTACATTATTCTAATTTGTATGGATGAAAGGAGGGTGAAAAAGGTAAGAAAACAAGAAAAGAAATTATACATTACAAGCCTTTTTTGATCAGATCATTAGTGTTAGATCATTCAAATGGAATGCTTTCTATATATATAATGTATTATCAACAGAACAATTTTCATATTATTTTGTCAAGGACCCACCCTCCTCTGAATCCATGTAAATTAGTTGTGCTACTTTCAATAATCAGTATAATCATCTTTGTACCATGATATTAACCAATATTAACAAACTTTCAATAGTAATATTTCTGCCATCTTCATCTTAACATTTATGGATTACTTGGCCATCTAATATTGCATATATACAAATGGACATACTACATGCTACAATACCTCTGATCAGAAAGTCAGTGTGGCTCAGAGTGATATTGTGGTGATGGACTTTGCAGTCTTTGAGCAAACGCCACAGCTGCATGCGGGACAACATGAAGGTGTTGTCTGGGGAGCGAGCATGTCCAAGTCGGCTGTAGAAACTGTAGATGGATCTCAGTTCAGTGCTTTGCCTCAACACTGCGAACTCCACCTAGAGGACAAAAGTAAAAAATTACCAGTGGGAGAGAATTTTGAAGCGGCACCATTGGTTTAAAAAGAGGGACTGACTGCTTTGAGTTCTGCATTGCGTTTTTTCTCAGGGATGCTGTTCAGAAGTACATCGATGTTTAAGGTCATGTCTGGCCCTAGCAGAGATGACCTATCAAAGGCTACAAAGGATAAAGAAGTGTAATCAGTGATGACAGTTTGGAAAATTAAATGTACATTTGACCTGAATCCTAACCAAAAAAAATGCTCCTTTTATGTCAGTTTTTAAAAATGATATTAGGCTGTTCTAAAATATGAGTCTGGTTTAATCTTTTTATTAAATTAAATTTGCATAAATTTCAGTTGTTGTATTGCTTACCTAGAAATGGAAGAGGTCTGTCATTTATTAACTGTATCATCTGATCATTCACAAACTCGCGGTGGAAAACCTTACCATTTTTAAAGGTAAATTTTCCCTATGAAACAAAACCACACATTTACTGTACAATTGTCAAAATTAAAATATAAAAAATATTAAGTTTCTATACTGTTCCATGCTTTTTGTTGTTTCTCCACTCTCCCTCATACACTGCACCATCTGCGTAGTAAAATGTTCCTTGTCCATGTCTCTGGCCACATACAAAATCCCCAATATACTGGTTACTTTGGAAATATCGAGTCCCATCTTCTCGCTTTAGGATCCATGTGTGTTTGCCATGCCCATGCTGCAAGGAACAGCCATTTTCACAATGTGTTATACAACTTAGTAAAGATCATTGACCTACTTACTTGTACTCCATTACACCATGTTCCCTCATACTGTTGTTCATGCAGAAGCCATTTCATTGTCCCCTCTCCATGTCTTAGGTTGTTCCTCCACTCACCTTCGTAAGTATTACCAGAGGAATACCTGAACATAATAACAGTAATAATATAAGAACAATCTTGTGTTATATTTGTACTTAATAAATCATAGTGTACCTTCTCACTCCACGTCCCTCAATCTTGTTCATTACCCAGTCCCCTTTGTACCAATTGGTCTTATCTTTGTTGTAGTAAATGGTACCCTAAGAAAAAAAAGTTACCTAAATCATATTCAGAATAGAAAATCTAATATAGCTTACCTTTCCATGTCTTTTGCCTTGGTCCCACTGGCCTTTGTACAACACACCATTTCTGGAACAGTTGTATGATCCAGTCCCATGTCTTATGCTATAATGAACCTCTCCTTCGTATGTGCTCCCATCAGGCCAAGTGTATGTACCAAGGCCCGTCATCGTGTTGTTGACAAAACTCCCCTTTAAAACATATTATGTTAAGTAAATAACCAATATATTAAAGGTCCTATATTACACAAAATTGACTTTTGTTGTCCTTAAGCCATTTTTTAATGTAGTCACTTCATCAAAAACAAACCAAGACTTTTGTGTAGAGTTTAAAAACCCAGAGGAACCTTTTCTGCATTACCATCACAACACAAGGTGGAGTGTTTTCTAAGAGAAGAATTCCACCCTAAATATGCAGGGTTTGCATATTAAACAACTCCAGGTATGTTTTTGATGAGGGAAAATTAGAAAATAGCATAATATGGGCCCCTTAATTAAATTTAGTATCGAATTGAATATTTACCTCATATTTTAATCCACCTGCCCATGTGAATACACCGTGTCCATCCATTAGTCCCTTGGAAAACATACCCTGCAGCAATTGAAGACGACACTTCAATATAATCGTAATTTCACAGAACAATTTTTATTTTTCATACCTTATACACGTGACCTCCGACAAAAAATGCCACTCCTTCTCCACTCGGTTGGTCTTCTGAAGTTTCACCTTCATATCTATTAGGGGCACAGTGTTATAGATGATTTTACGAACTTTATGATTAGTAGGATTAGTAACGTACCTTTGAATAACCAAGTTCAAAATGAGAGGATGCCCGTCGAAAACATTCATGTCGGATTGTTTTTGCTGCTTTTGGATCCAGAGTATTTTCTGTTGCCGTCATAAATTATTAAAAATTAACTACTCGTATAATTTAGCCTTTAAGTATTTTCTTGACTTATTTTAGCACTACACAGCTCGCTTTAGCTTTGGGGCAATCTCCCTGTAATCGCAATCGCTCGTCTCCCCGTGGCAACGAGATGGACGCTGAAAACTACGGAAAGCTGAAAGAGACATTCCTAGTAATTTATTTAAAACAACAACAACAACAACAAACAAAACAAAACCCTTTTTCAAATCAACTGTAAGTTTAATTAATTTTCTGTTACAATACAAATTAAAAGCCACATTAAAACAAAGTACAAAAATAAACACTTTTTTGTGCCACTATTCAGTATTCATATTCATTATTGAGAAATAATGTCCAGATTGGCCAGGTGTCTCATAGTTGGTCTTCCGTGTGGACAGTTCCATGGCTGTTCAATTTCCCCCATGTGAACCACAAGCTTTTTCATTTCACTGATACTCAGGGCTGTGCCAATCATTACCTTTGGCACAAAGGAGGACAAAGTATAAATTAAATATAAAAAACAAATTAACCAATAATTAGCTAATCATCAGATTAAAGATATACACACAGATTTGCGACAAGCTCTGGATGCAAACATCTGCCTCACACGGGATGGTCGGCACATGACGCCTGGGCTGTCACTCAACATAAATATGAGCTCCTCTATGTCAGAAGGCCCAAATGTCCAGTTCTTACTGGTGGGTAGAGACACCAGCTTTATTCTCTCCATTACTTGAGCTGAACCAAAAATAAACAAGACAATAGATAGTAATTTTGGAAAGTTTAAGGAATTTAAAAGGGTTAGAACAATCTTACCATCTTCATTTATCAGAAATTCAAAGCCATTCTTTTTAAAAATGTCAATATTCTCAATTAATATGTTTTCACTGACTGCAGTAAGATGAAGGTTTTGGGGGCTAAAAGAAAGATACAATAAAAACATTTAATATAAGAACTTGTATTACAAGAAATCAGTTCACTTCTTACATTATAAGTCTCTGTCCCTGAAGTACAGTGTGTTGCTGTAGCATTTCAAAGTTGTACTTCTCATCAGTTGCATGCTGGTCAATCATAAAGATGTCCGAGTTTAGTTTGGTGATGATAAAGCCCAGGTTGAACTGACCAATGATCTCCATTTCTTTGAACATATCCTTACTAAAACACATAAAAGAAGTAAAACAGGTTCTTAAAATAATTTATTTATAAGTGATTAAAAAAACAAAACAAAACAAAAAAAAACATACCAGATCTCCTTCTTCAGCTCATCTTCTGCACTCTGGTTATCTCCAGGGTTGATCTTAGCCCTGAATCGTCTATATTTTGGTTCATCCTCAGCTCTCTCACGTTGCTGCAGCCTCTTTATTCTTAATGCAAGCTGCTGAAAGGAAAACTGCACAGGCACGGTCTTTCTTTGTAAAGAGATGGGGGCATCCACAGTTGATGAGGAAGAACTCCTCGAATCATTTGAGAAGGCAGCATTAGATTTTGTCAGAACCAGTGGATTTTCTCTTCTGGCTCTTTTGGGATCAGGGCTTTGCCAACACGGTTCTTTTAATGTACATGCTTTAGATTCCACAGTTGTGCCATTATCCTCCTCTGGTTCTAGTTCACAGTCTTCAACTTTGATAGTCATGTTTTCAGTCAGCATTTGTGTGTCATTATCTGATATTGTGGTGTCGCAGCTGGGAACTGAGTTTTCTCTTCTACTGTCCAGTTCTTTACCAAACCTGAAACTGTCCAACCCACCTCTTCCCACAACAGAGCATTTATTATAGTCTTTTTTTGTCTTTAAATTGCATAACATGTTTGTATTAGATACAGTAGACTTTGCACCACTTTTGAGAAATGACTGAAGTGTTTTCTGGATTGGGCCACTCTTTGTGTTATATGAAACACCCATATTTTTAGCAGAACTACGATGACTGGAAAAAGCAGCCTTTAGATTGGCCAAATTAAGGGTAGATTTTGGGCTTTGAGTAACAGAGTCACTGTCCTCTCCAGACTCTGACAAGTTCTCACCCAAGGGAACAACTTGAGGTTCAGGTGATGACAGCACGCCTAATGAAAAGTACATATTAGTATATATACATTTTTTGACAAAAATTTATATATCTTTAATACTCACTTGATGCTGGTTTATGCATAAAATTCAAACTTAATTTATTGACTCCGGCCTCATACATGTTGATAAGAGATGTTTTTATAATCGCAAGAAGGAGTTTTCTTCTTGAAGGAAAATCTGCCGTTTGTCTGGGGTGACATTTACATCCACACATTCTAAAACACAATACAATTAAGACATTTACAACAACATACTTAATATTATTACTACATTATGCACTTTTCTTACCAGAGGCTACAGTTATGCTCAAGGCAACAAATGGATACTGATGCCTGTTATACATATGATAAACTTCATTTACAATTTTAGCCACCTGCAAGTTACAAATTTCATTTAAACCCAATGTTGGTTACTTTTTCCAGTTTTACATTTGAAATACCTTCAGCGGATCACATGGGCGGTTGTTGATAAAGAAAAATTGTCTGTCGGTGGAACTTCTTCCTACTCCATGGTCTGCTTGCGAGACAAATCCTGTAATGCTGTAAGAAAGAAAAGGATAATTTATATATTTAGGAATCAAACTGGAAACGTGTGATTATGTGTATAATTTTACTCACACAAATAGCTGTTTGGGTAGGTCTGTATCCTTCAGTCCATATTCATCCATAACATTTTCAGCAGGAACTATTTGCTGAAATGGCAAAAGTGTCTGGAGCTGCAAAATGCACAAAGAAATCAGTACTGCTGTGTTAAAAAAACTATATGATAATGTTAAGGAACCAATTTTACAAATACAACTTAATTACTTGGATGTTACAGTATTAAATCAAACCTGCTTTGGTCCAAATATGGCTCCTATGTTGTCCCTCATACTTTGGCTTCCACTGGTACTGAGGACTATGCTGCGCTTGCCCTGCCCAGTTTGGTTTGAGCATGTTATGCGCACTCCAGTAGATATTATACAATAGGACTGCAGGACATGGATCATTTTTGCATATTCCTAAAAATGCATATTCTCTAATTAGTGTAATTAGTGTTAAGATTAGTTACACAATTTTGCATTCAGATGTAATAGCATACTACTACTACTTTACCTTTTTAATATTACGTTGGAACTCTTTGTGTCTGACTGGGAGAGTGTAGAAGAGCTGCTGCAAGGTAACTGTAGTGCCTTGCTGTCTAGGTTGAGGTGATTTTTGTATCAAGTTTCCCTTGTGATCAAACACCAGCTTGGTCCCCACTTGGCTGGATTCATGACATGTAACCACCATGAGATCGCTATAGGATGGTCATATACATTTTTATATAGCGGTTTTTCGCCTTCAGGGCACTCACATCGCTTTAGATAAATGTTTGAGAATTGGTTATGGATTACAGATTTAGTGTTGTGTGATGCAGCGTGTGATACTATCTACCTTAGTGCACATAGAGAGCTGAGGGCTTCTCCTCTGAAGCCAAAGGTTTCCACATGAATGAGATCTGAAAAGTCCCTTATTTTGGAGGTATGGTGCTTCAGTGCTGTAGATATGAAGAAAGAATTAGAAACTAGGAGAGCTATATAGCAAAAACTAACAACTGCACTTACTAAGTCCTTCAAAGTTAGCTTCCTCTACTCCTTTGCCATTATCAGAAACTTCCACAAGCTCTGCTCCAGAATCCTTTAATCGAACTTCTGTAACAGAAATAATTACATAATGGTACAAGGGTAATTCACATACATAATGCATAAAACCTTAGACACGAAATATGTTTTTGTTCACCAATATTTGTAGCTCCTGCATCCACACTATTCTCCACCAGCTCTTTGACAGCAGTGGCCAGAGTCAGCACCACCTGGCCTGAGCAGATCTGATGCACCGAGTGCTTGTCAATGGCCCTGATGGCTCCTGCAGGCTCAGAAGGGCTGAAAAGAAAAGTTACTTTATCTTAACATTTTTTAAGTGTAGTAAGAAGAATAGGAACGAATACAACATTATTCATTACATGTAAGTCTTCGCTTTAACCTAACCATTCAATAAAGAGACAGAAAAGATGTAATTAGCTAACTTACTATTCTTCAGACATTTCATCCACTATTTCTCCAAGTTAGCTCAGTGACGTAGTTGTTTATCTTCAGGAACGCAACAAATAGGCTCATAGCATACAATATATCATATTTGCTTTAAATCTCAGTAACATAAATACATTTAGCAAACACTCTGGATTCTGGAAGCTGAAGTAAACACAAAATTGAAGCTAGACCGCGCCATAGGAGTAGGATGTCTGCACAGGTCCTAATTGCTCAATAATGAAGCTTTAGCAAATTACTTTTTATAAACTATCTGTGGTCTAGCTATGCCTTAGAGAGATATGAACGCAATATAATACAATCCAGCAAATACAAATATCCATTACGATACATTTTTTAAGGATTTCCGTAAATTTAGTAGTATTTCATCATTTTTGGTCTGCAGTCCGTTTTGGACCTTCAGTTAGGGCATATGTAACAATGTGCCAGTTTTAGGAAACGAATAACTCTTATCTTTTAATGTAAAAAACAGATAAAGGTGCGTCATCGTCTTTATCCATTTATAAATAAAGATGTATTTTTAACATAGTCGGAATAAATATATTTTATTCACTTACTTACGCATACACATTTTACGTCGTCTCGTTTGTTCTGTAACAGCAGACGGTCCCTACTCATACTCAAAGGCTATCATGGCGGCGGCCCTCAGCGTGAGAGGTTGAACTTTTTATGTTTATGATTTGAACAGCTGGAAATGTGTGCTAATGCCGTTTCTACAAAATGTACGTGCTAATATTTGTTATGATGTGGGGGGTACAAATTGTTATACGCTGAAGTAGCATGGTGATCAGTGTTTTGTTCAAGTCTTCGCTGCCATACGTTGAAATGAACTGTTCAACATCAGGTAGTAGTGGGGCGCTACAGCCGGAGGAAGGTTCTGGTAGCGGCTCGGAGCTTCTCCTGCAGCCCCGGCTCCTGAGGCCGATCATGGGCGAAGAGGTTGAGAGCACCTTGGGCCTGATAAGTTCGGCTAGTGAAGAGGATGACGACATACAGTTTGACAGTAAGCACCTTTTTGTCCATAGCTTTCCATGTTGTCCACTCTTAATCCATTATCGATGGGTTTTTTTATTGTCGGTGCAAATTTCTTAGTTTCTTTCACTTTCATTGGTGTAGTTTGGTGGGTATTATTGGCTCAGGTTTGACAACGTGACTACGCCCCCTCTTCTGTCAGCTGGGTTGGTTTAGTCAAGGGGGATACTTTTAGCAAACACCCAGGCTTAACTTGAGTGGCTTACTGTGTGTCGGTAGATGTTGTATGTCTTTTAAATCAATGTAACTTACTACATAAAAGTCAAGGTTTGCTATTCCTTTGCTTCATAATGTGTGCACTTATTTAGGTAGTTCTAATGAATATGATACAATAACAGTGTATTGATTTGTTAGAGGCTAATCTTAAACCATATGATAAACATAACATTTAGTCTTAGACTTTAATCATTTATTGGTTATTTATTATCATGATGCAACCTCTGCCGTTCATTTTGGAACGTCCACTTCCACTTTAAGCGGAGGGCCTCTCAATGCTGGATCTCTCAGATAAGGTTTATTTCTGTGCACGCCCCAAGTGTGCTAACAAGATGAGTTTTGTTTTTAGCTTGTGGGGACAAATAGGAATAAGAACAGCTCTGTATATTACAATATCAGTAAATATATTTATCTTAAAGGCCAGGCAAATGGACTTGGAAAAAAACATTATTAAGATGATTGCAATGCTTATTGAGGAAGGTAAGGTTTTTGCTATTTCAAAATGTAAATGTAGTAGGCTATAATGTGGGTGTTTTGAGTTTTGAGTAATGAGAGCAAAAACAGCATGATGCTTTCTACTGTGGCTCTTCTTGAAGCTTCTGACATGGACAATGACAGAGAGGTGCTAATGGCTGGAAGATCTTATTCTTCCATTCAAGAGTTTGCCTCCGCTATCCCCAATCACCTCCTTCTTGGCTCACTGTTGGAGCATCTATGCTTGGTCTATGAGAATAACCCAGCACGCTCACGGATGCTGTTTAAAGGTACTGGCAGCCCTGACCCTATAAATCTGACACCAGTACTGAACCCCTAAATAAACATTAATGCTTGCATGTATTGCCTCTGTGACAGTCATTGGACAGCGATTGGCAGCTATGAATCTCCTTTCCCCGCTGGCAATAAGTGATGAGTTCAGTACAGTCAGACTGCAGCACAACCGGGCCTTTACTGAGCTGCTTCATGCTGCCAGCTCCTCTCTCTATCCACAGGTGATTACTCTGCATGGTGATGTTGTGTCTTATGTTCAAGTATGTGCAAGTATAGTACATAAGTCAAACAGCATTATTATTATTATTATTATTATGTTGTTGTAACAGTTATTTTCTGCTTGTTTGTATATTTTGATACAGAGCCAAAGACTAGGCACCAACACTCGTAGTTCTACTGTAAAGTGAGTTAATTTTTTGCCATGTATCTATTCTGACATATATGTGTTATTCTGTATGTGTAATTATGTGTCACATATCCCACAGACCGATAGAAGGACTTTTTCAAGCACAGACTTCAAGATATCTCAGTGAGTTTGAAGAAATCTGCAAACTTGGAAAAGGATCCTATGGGAATGTTTTTAAGGTATTATGTTACTAGTGATTCTTCTTTAGTTCCCTTTGTGAAAAGTCATCTTTAAAATATAACTATTAAAAACACATCTTTTCAGGTTTTGAATAAACTTGATGGACAGTATTATGCTGTTAAGAAGATTCTCATTAAAAAGGTTTCAAAAGAAGACTGTATGAAGGTAAGGCATGTCTCCATATTGGAGCCAAGTCATTAACACTGTTAATATTTATATTAAGTATATTATGGTGTTTTAGGTTCTTCGAGAAGTCAAGGTGCTCTCCAGTTTGCAACATGTGAATGTTGTAGGCTATCACACTGCATGGATGGAGCATGTTCAACCAGCAGCATGTAAGTTCACTGTGGAAATATGTAGGTTTAATATTAACATTTTTACTCAAATGGCAGAAGCAATGTTCATCATGGGTGTCTTTGTCAGATCCCCAGTCTTCCCTACCTGCCCTAGAGTCTCCAGAACAATGTGATAGGTAAAGGTGAATTGTGCAAAATACAAAACTGACACCTTGACAATATTTAATTGTATATTATTTACTTATTTCAGTTCTGATGAGAATCTTAACGACAATAGCACTGGATCTTCCATTGTATTCCAAAGTCTTTCTCAAGAACTGTCTGTCGCTTTAAGTGACCAAGTGCACTCTGCAAATGGTGCAGCTGAGCCTTTAGTTTCCTCTCCTGTAAAGAACCAAGTGCTGTGTACTAAGCCTAAGCATCGACTCCCAGAGAACTATGTGCCTTGTGTTTTTCTGGGCCAGCGGTCTCCCATTAAGGACTCAAAATGTCCAGCTATGGGTTTGGACAGTTCTATTGTGTTTGAAGAGGGCTCCAGCAGCAATAATGAATTGAGCAACGGCTCCTGCAGTGGCAAAGAGTGCCAGCAGAGGGTGGGAAAATGTGCAAAAACTATTAAAGAGGTGAGTGACAGTCATAGAAAGATGTATGACTAGAGCTAGGAAGGCACAGTGTTTGGAACAACCTGTGTGTAGGACAGTATCCAACATTTTACTTTACTTGTTACTGCACATCTCTGATGTACTCTCTCTACTACGTGTACTTGACAATATAAGTTTTTCTTTGCTGACTCAATTTTCAAGTCCATTCAAGTCCCAGTTAATGTGAAATTCTCCCAGATGATGATTCTAAAGTTATCTTTACTGTTCTGCCTTTGCAGGTACAGTTTCACCTAATGCTCTACATTCAGATGCAGCTATGTGAGCGCTCGTTAAAAGACTGGATTTCTGAAAGGAATGCTGAACCAAAACTCCAGCCTTCCATAGAATGTAAATACATTTCGTAATTGATAATTAACAAAAACAGTTTCAAATTTTGATTAGTGTCTATGGGCCTCACTGAAGCCTTTTTGTGCTCCAAGGTCCATATGCGCGTGTGGATACTGAACATACTCTCAACATTCTGAAGAGCATCCTTGATGGGGTAGAATACATTCACTCCAGAGGAATCATGCACAGGGACCTTAAGGTATGCTTTTTTGTTTATTGAATAAAAGTCTGGAGTATTATTGAGTAAAAGTTTGCGGTATTATTCTGCAACATTAGTGTCACCAGGGTTTTAGGTTGAAGATTTGTTGTTGTTATTTATCTCTACATCTAACAGCAGTCTATCTAAATTGTCCCAGTCATTAAAAACAAATTCATATAGAACAGCTGGCAGCAATTGTTGCCACTCTGTCCTGTTACGATTGTGTTGAATGTAAATAAAAGCTTTGCAGATGCTTTTAAGTGACCTTGGTTCCTGTGAAAGTCTCAGTATTGGCTCCTTTAATTTATAGGAACACGGAAGCATCAGAGAGGAGGGCAGGTGGCCACTTTTGTTGTGAAAGATGAGCGGCGTGGTTAACCCAAACAGTTTTGACAGCAGCTCATTGCTTGTTACTTTTACCCCCCTGTTTAGGAACATGAATAGACAGTTTTCTCCATCCTTGTTCAGTTTGTTGATATCTCCTCCATAGCTGAGAAGCAGATCCACCAGTTCGATGCAGCCCATGAAGCATGCGTCTTGTAAAGGCGTTCTGTCTTGGTTGTTGCATTTGTTTGGGTCTGCACCATGCTCCAGCAGCTCTGCGACACACTCCAGGTCATCTGCTTTAGGTTTGGCCGTCATTGTCGCACAGACGCTTACTGCGATATGCAGAGGTGTGTTCCCAGACTCGGTCACTCCCTAAATCATAGCAATATATTTAGCCCACAGATGGACTAAGTCATATTTTATGATTCACAGTGACAAAAAACTTGCCATGTTGAGATCTGCTCCCTGCTTGATCAAGTACAAAAGTATGTCCTTATTGAGTATTCCTGCGGCTCGGTGTAGGGGGGTCATTCCCACACCATCCAGTACATTCACACTGGCTCCATAGCTGATCAGAGTCTTGACAGCAGATAGGGCTGAATAGGACACTGCTATGTGAAGGGCTGTCTCTTTAATGACCCCAGTCACCTAGAAAGAAGTCACAAAACATATGACTACGCAACAAGAGCCAACATGGATTTAGAAAACTGTCCCACTTAGAATGTGAGACTGAATTTTTTTTTTTAAATAAGAAATTGTATAAGATTTTGCTTGTAGTGGAGTTATTTCAAAGGTGCAACCCAAATGGAAAGAAGTTTCTGTCTTGTCTGAACCCACCCAGTTTCAGTAATCAGTGGTCACAAAATTCAAACTTGGGAATGGATTACCTCAGCGTTAATGTCCACGCCATGCTCACACAGGAGCTGTAAACAGGCTTCTGCCTTTTCACGAACAGTGATCAAAGTTGCTCGGAAAGGAGAAACATTTGTGGATTCTTTCGTTGAACTTAACAATCTTGGCCAGCTCATAATTACTAAGTGTAGTGATGTTCTGCCTTGTTTGTCCCTGCAACACAAAAAACAATGAAGCCATTCAGTATGTTTTAGTTATTTTTTAAGCTTCCTTAAATTGAGAAATGTGCTTCTGCTTTTGTAAACCTTTTTTCAGCGTCTGCTCCCAATGCTAACAGACTCTTCATGCTCTCCAGCTTTCTGTTCATTGCAGCAAGATGAAGGGGATAGGTGGACAGTGCCTAAGGCAAGGCAAGATGAGACAAACTTGAATGCATTGAGCAATCTGTCTAAGCTTCAAACCACTAAACTACAGGTTAAATTAATAGTATTTGTAAAACAACTATAGATCCTGTTATGTTTGTTATTCATGCATAATGTTGAATCACTCAATGCATATTTATAACAATTTGCACTTACTTTCCAGAAAACCTTCCTTTGCGTAACATGGTATATTTCAATCAAGGAGTCGCTTCCATGCATTAAGGACAGCTGTTCTATACCTTCAGTGTTTTCATCCATAATAGCAGCAAAAAAAAGATTGTTGTAGTTGTCTGGTAAGATAGCTCCAACTGTCATTGCCCCTACAGTCCCCAAACATATCCAACACTGGCTTTACCGCATACCATGTTTACTCTCCCAGGTGTGTGGTTGTTCAAAGCTCGTTCTTCAGGTCTGGGGCGGAACTACTCGAATTGGCCCTATGACAGTTAATTTACACAGACATTTAAGGGAAGTGTGATGCTGCTCGTTTTAGTGTCCTAGTTAGTGTATCATGCTGTAGTTTGATATGCAAGCTTCCTGGCTCAACTGATAACTTACTCTGAAGGGGCCAGTTTGGGAAAATGACACACCCTTAAAATACACCCATAATAATAATAATAAGTGCTATTATGTTTTCATTTTGTGTCTCGACATTTTATCATTGAGTTCAAATGTTTAATATTTTGTAATAAAACAAACACAAAGTGGTGGAGTGCTTTGCTGGATCATATAGATATAACATTGCAAATCAGACCCTGGTGTCCCTTTTTGAAATAAACTACTTTCAATACTTACATGCCAAGAGTGCCTCATCACTGTTACCTTGCCATACAGAACAAAATAAGGTTAGCCAAAACTAATGATTTCCCCTTCATATTTTGTTATTCTCTTTCAGCCTAGAAACATTTTCCTCCATGGCCATGACTGTCATGTAAGAATTGGGGACTTTGGACTGGCTTGTGGAGATCTAATTGTGGACGGACGTAAAAGCTCAGGTTCTCCCTGCAGTGGTAATATTTCATATATTTGCTTTGTAATAATCTCAAGACAATGTTGGTCCCATACTCTCATGTAGATGGTGCTGTTGTGTTGTTGACATGCTCTGCAGATTCCTCACATACCACAGGTGTGGGCACGTTTGTGTATGCGTCACCAGAGCAATTGAAGGGCTCACATTATGATTCAAAGGTAAACACTAATAAACAAATTATTGCAACAGTATTACAACACTTATTGATGAGTGCAAACACCATAGTGTTATATTATGAATATAATATACAGAAAATGATTACACATGTTGCATCAATTACCAAAAAACCAAAAAAACAAACTACATTTATTATTTTGTTTTTGTTACAGTCCGACATGTACAGTGTGGGTATGCTGGCCTTTGAATTATTCCAGCCTTTTGGGACAGAAATGGAACGAGTCCGGTGTCTTGGGGATCTTCGAGAAGGAAAAATCCCAGATACTTTTTGCAACAGATGGCCAATCCTTGCCAAACATATAATGAAACTAACTAATCAAGACCCCAGTGTACGACCCACTGCTACAGAACTTCTGCAGAGTGAACTCTTTAGTAATAAAGATGAGGTTTGTGTTTATTTTTTTCATAGCCCAGAATTTAAATAATTAAGTGAAGCCAATACAAAATAACAGAATGGGCAAATTAACTACATTTCATCCCATGTGCCACTCTCTGCCAACAGATGATCCATGGTTTGCAGAAACAAGTGGAAGAGCAAGAGAAGGAAATTATGCAGTTAAGAAGAAGAATCAGTGAACTTGAATGTTCAAATGTTTCATTGTCTGAATCAAATGAAACATAATGCCTTTGCTTTCACAAGATGTGTAATATAGGCCTACATCGTACGTTATTGTTTAATTTTAATTGTCTTATTGTGACAGAAGATGGTGTGTAGATTAATGCATTGGTTATTTATTATTATTCTCCATTTACCTGATAATAAAGGGTAAGTAAGCAATTTCAGATGTGTGTGCGCGAGGTCCTTAAATAGTAACGCAATAGAGCATGGCTTCGTTCCATGTGTAAGCGCACGGCACACAAAGGTCGATGCGGAGTATGTTACATGGTACAGATGTTCCCGAAACACGTTCCACACGAGGAAACGGCACAATGAGCCAATCAGAGCACTGCTTTCACCACAGGTACCCGGATGTACCCGTGGGCAATTAGCTACGTCATTGTTCACCGCCGGACACCCGCTGTAAATAAGCAATGGATTTACAACTGATTTTAGGGCGTTCATAACAATTGCCAGGTGAGTGTGCGGCTGCCTTGTCGGTTTAATGAAAACTTAACTATATATCAGTTATGTTTTAGTTGGCTCGAGGGGCAGGGATTAGCTATAGTAGCCTTACACCGGTTCTCTGTCATGTCGGAAAGAGCAGCGCAGTATGCACAGCCACCGGTGTTGAGCCCCTCCTTTCACCTCCTGCAATTTGTTCCGTTACTCGGCCCACCGTGATTCGTTCTTCTTGTGTTAAAGTTGAAAGCTACACAGCCCGCGTACTCGATCTATATATATATATATTTCTCTCAGCTTTGTCATTCAGCGAACGTTAAGCCGAGCAGGCTAGCGCCTAGCATCAATGTCGCTGCACGGAGTGTTAGCTGCGCTCTGTAGCACTGTTCCGTTCGGCATTTCCATAGACTCCCGTGTTTTGAGCTTGTTACCTCTCAAGATTCGTTCTGACCTAAAAATTACAAATGTTTTGGCAGAATTGACAACACATCGGCTTCGATCTTCGACAAAATGAGATTTTGTTCCGCTCCATGTTGTTGTTTTTCACACTGCGTGTTAAAGGCCTAACCGCCGCCTGTTAGCCAATGTGAACCGTAGTGTGCTGGCTGGAGCAGGTGGGAGGGAACAGCTGCTGTAGTAAACGTGCTTCCGACTAGGACAAGTCTCCGCTCCTCTGCCAGGGTTATTGTTGGAAAAAATGGCCAATTATTCAGAAATATTCATGAATGAACCGCGGCACATTTCATATAGTTAATCCATGAATGAACAGCAGTGACACGTTTCATATAATTTATCCATGAATGAATAGCAGTGACACATTACAAGTAAAATAGTCCCCACACAACAAATTCACAACTGTAGGCCTATGATGATGATGAAGTGCGATGTATTGTTTCAGAAAATATCACAATAAAGATTTTGAATCTACTCTATGCTATTGACTTACAAACTGATGGAACTCTTTTATATATGGTTTATTTGTGTGTGTGTGTGTGTGTGTGTGTGTGTGTAAATGTGTATAAATATCACTCATTGTGTTCTCAAAATTATTGAAAAGGTGCACCCAATAAACATTGACCACCAAAATTTGGATCCAGCCATCACTTATTGAACAATGAGTTGATATAGTAATTAGCACAAATTGCTGAGGTCATGTTGTGCATAGCAAATGTATTCATGGGTATCTACTTTCATTGCTTTGATCACTTTGGTAACCAACCATCACAAGTTGTCTTCGTATGTCTTACAGCAATGAACAATGACCATAGTTGACAGATCCTCAGAACAGTCTGACTACGAGTCAGTCGGGTGTAAGCGCTCCCCATTCACCAGTGGAGACGTGGGCATGGACAGCAGCTGCTCCAGCAGCTGGGCAGTGGGACCCTCAGTGGCCAATGAGTCTCCCCGGCTCAAGGCTCAAGGGGGCTGCCTGGGCCCCACGCCCGGAGCTGCGGTCTACAATGGCACATGTGTGGAGCGGCCCAAGGAGCAAGGTAAGAGCACAAACTACAGCTACTGACTTCAGCTCTGTACAACTTGTCATAGCTACCTCTTCAAAACAGTTATATTTGATACTCATGGGTTAAGTGATGATGTCATCACTGCTTAAGCTTCTTCTGGGTCCAGTGGAAATTCACAAAATTCACAATTTTGGTGATTTTTAACGTGGTTCAGACTTTTGAACAAAGCGGTTTCTAAATGTAAACATTTTATCATTATTATATTTACATTATTTTCATTAATTAACTGGAAAAAAAAAAAAAGCTAAAACAAAATAATTACAGCTAATGATATTTAGTTTCTGTCCCCTTTCTTAAATTCATTCACAAGATCCCTGTTTGTGTTAATTAAACATTTGGATCCAAACAACGATGATGTCGCACTTATGGCAAAAGGAGAAATTCAATTTGTCAACTGGACAAAAGTTTATTTTGGTCGAATACGTATCGTAGCTCATCCAATTTCTTACAGAACTGAAGAAGCAGCTTGGATAAGCTGCGAAACGTATTTGACCAAAATAAACTTCTGTCCAGCTGACAAATTGAATTTCTCCTTTTGCCACGGATTCAACCGGGACGATTGGGGGATTTTACAAACATCTTGATCTCACACTTAGTTATCCTATTCTATTGTGTAGGGCATTGTTTTTGGAGTTATGATCAAAGGTGATATGATTCAAAGTTTGAATTCTTCATTGAACTTGTGGCTCTGGTAGTTAATTTAAGGAATGGTTGTTTAACCTGTTAAGTGACAGTGGAAAAATGAAACAATGTACAGTGTCTGAGGCTTGTAAATGCTCTGTCTTGTCTTTTGTCTCAGTAATGGGCAGTGGAGATGGGATAGATTTGCCACAGAAAGTCCTGTTTCCCCCTGAACGACTCAACCTAAAATGGACCCAGGGTCATCGAATTGGGGCAGGACTGCAGAACATGGGGAACACCTGCTTCCTCAACTCAGCTCTGCAGTGTCTCACCTACACGCCTCCATTTGCCAACTACATGCTTACACGGGAGCACTCCAAAATATGTAAGTTGTCTTGCTCAACTGTAGTTCCACTTTGGTTTGTTTGGTTTTTATTTTATTAATCTTTTTTTTTGGATTTGTTTAAACTTTAGGTCATGAGCCGGGCTTCTGCATGATGTGCACCATGCAAAACCACATCATACAAGTTTTTGCAAACTCTGGGAATGTTATTAAACCTATTGGTGTCCTCAATGAGCTTAAAAGTAAGTGTTTGCTATAATTTATTTTAGGATGAATTGGAGCATCATTTAAATGTATATAATAATTTCAAGAATAACATATTCTGGGTTAAGGGTAATATTTGTAAATGATAAATATCTGTTATTCCATAGGGATTGCAAAGCACTTCCGCTATGGAAGCCAGGAGGATGCCCATGAGTTTCTGCGATATACAGTGGATGCTATGCAAAAGTCCTGTTTACCTGGAACTAAGTAGGTTTTGACAGCCGTGTATGCAGTCGTGCATATTTTTTTCTATGTGTTTTGTAAAACTCACCTGAGGTGTCTATGTGTAGATTGGACAGGCAAACGCAGGCAACTACCTTCATCCATCAAGTATTTGGCGGGTATTTACGGTCCAGAGGTAAAAGAATAATCATTATAAAAATAATTTGATGAATGTTTCCCCTATTTTAATGTCTACATTTTTTTTCATAGTAAAATGTTTAAACTGCAAAGCAGTTTCTGATACATTTGACCCCTTTTTGGATATCCCTCTGGAAATTAAGGTAACAATGAAAGACAAGCTGCACTTAATGTTTTATCTTGCGTATCAAGGATTTTATATTTATCTTTATTTGTCTTTATTTTCCAGACAGCGCTCAGTGTCTCAAAGGCTTTAGAGCAGTTTGTTAAGCCAGAGCAACTAGATGGAGAAAATGCATACAAATGTACAAAGTAAGATAAATACTGGAGATCACAAAAAGGGAAACATGTTAAATGATCTGTACTGTTATAAATGTGTTTTTTTTTCTAATAGGTGCAAGAAAATGGTCACAGCCTCAAAGAGATTTACTATCCATCGCAATCCCAATGTCCTTACCCTGTCCCTTAAACGCTTTGCAAATTTCACTGGAGGAAAAATTACAAAGGTACATTTTTATGCCATAATAGGCAATGTTCCTAATGAAACAAATTGTTAATTGAATATCATGTGCTATAAACAGGATGTGAAATATTCAGAATATCTGGACTTGCGCCCGTACATGTCTCAGTCACAGGGAGAGCCTCAGGCCTATGGACTCTATGCTGTGCTGGTCCATTCAGGGTTCAGCTGCCATGCAGGACACTACTTCTGTTATGTGAAGGTGTTGTTTTACTCATTTATTCTATATTTGTTTTATATTATTTCTACAGATATGGGCTTTCCACTGGGCCACATGGTAGATTATTTTTTTAAATGATCCACATTTCTTTCCCATATTTCTTTTCCCAGGCTAGCAATGGACAGTGGTATCAAATGAATGACTCTTCTGTGTCAGTGAGTGATATACGGTCCATTCTAAACCAGCAAGCCTATGTTCTATTCTACATCAGGTGAGTGACTTTTCACTTTGGCCCAATCCACATTTAAAAAAAAAAAACACCCTAAATAATGTCACATTTGAAGTAAAGTGTGCTTATCTGGATTGTTTGCCTAAAACTAGCATGTTTCTACCTCTGCATATTGTATATAATTACTAAGCTACTTTTTGTATGGCATTGAGTGTTACTCTCTCAGACAATACTGTATTTACTTTGCTGTCACTAGGAACAATGATGTGAAAAAAACAGCTGACTACAACCACATGAACCATAACACTGGCATCCCTGGTCAGTCCTCCCCACGGCCTGTTGTAATACCACGGATAAATACAGCCGTCCACAACAACAATGTGGGCTTCATAGGTCCACAGCTGCCACCAAACAAGGTAATTCAAAATAGTCTGCACTGCCCAGAGATATTAATTACAGATTTGCTTTATTTCACTTGTTTGCATTTGTTGTACAGGGGTCACATCATGTCAACAGAAATGGATCTCATAGAGATTATCCCAGTTCAAAGCCTAGCAGCAGTGGTCACGGATCGTCTGCCTCTTCCTCCATCTCTCACTGCATTAGCCGGCCCACAACTATCCCAGACCAGGACAAACGTCAGAAACTTTCATTTTTCATTGGCCAAGGCAAACCCATCCGGCCCGCACCCTCGTCCACCTCTCAC